TGCTGATTACTCCAAACGGCAATCGTTTTCCCCTAAACAGCAGTTATTTTCCCATTTTTTCCCTGCTGCCGCGACAACCATTGCACCTTCCCCACCTTCTGGAAATCCCCCTCCACCGCCTGGGTCTCTCTCCAATGAGGAAGTTCAGCAACTCATTGCCTATCTCAGCTCGCAACTCAACGTTCATCCTCACAGCATATGTGAAGACTCAACAGCTCATGGCCCCTCAATTTCTCATGTTTGTGGTAATACTCCTTTTGCCCTTTCTCTTTCACTTCCGTTTGTTTCTCATGATGCTTGGATCATTGATACCGGTGCCACCCACCATGTTTGCTGTAATCTTTCTCTTTTTTCACACTCCACCACCGTTGCTCATACCACTGTCACTCTACTCAACAGAACCAATGTGGCTATTGATCATATTGGCACAGTAACATTGTTTAAATCGCTGGTTTTACACAATGTCTTATTTGTTCTAACGTTTTCCTTCAATTTGCTCAGTGTCAGTTCTCTTACTCTCAACCTTCATTATCGTGTTGATTTTCTCTCTAATTCGTGTGTCATTCAGGACCTCACTCAAGGCTTGACGATTGGGAAGGGTAGACGTCAAGGCAACCTCTATTTTCTTGAATTCGGGATTCCTCTTTGTAATTCTGCTCTTTCATGTTCTATAATGTCCAAAAGTGATATTTGGCATTATCATCTTGGTCATCCATCTTCTGTAAAGATTCAACTTCTACATAATGAATTGCAAATCCCTAGTTCTTTATCTAATTTGTCTTCTCATTGTCAAATCTGTCATATGGCTAAACAGAAGCGGCTTCCCTTTTCTTCTCTTAATAACATGTCTCCTAATCCTTTTGATTTAGTGCATATTGATGTTTAGGGAGCTTTTCATGTTGCAACTCCTACTGGCCAAAAATATTTTCTTACTATTGTTGATGATGTGCTACCTGGGTTTATCTCTTACGTGTAAAATCTGATGTTCTTACTATTTTTCCTTATTTTTACAACTTCATCCTTACTCAATATAATGTCGTAATTAAATCTATTCGATTAGACAATGCTCCAGAATTGGTGTTCATTGATTTTTTTTCGTTCTAAAGGCATTCTTCCTTATCACTCATATGTTGACACACCTGAGCAAAATTTTGTCGTCGAATGTAAACATCAACACATTCTTAACGTGGCTCGTGCTCTCATTTTTCAGTCGAGCGTTCTTCTTTATTATTAAGGTGATTGCGTCTTAACTGCTGTTTATTTAATTAATCGTACTCCATCTCCTCTGCTTTCCAACAAGACACCATTTGAACTTTTAAGTAATAAAAAACCAAATTATGGTCACCTTCGCACTTTTGGCTGCCTCTGTTATAGTTCCACCCTTCCTCATCATCGTTCAAAATTTTCTCCTCGCACTCGTGCTTTAGTCTTTCTTGGCTATCCATTTGGTTATAAAGGCTATAAACTTCTTGACCTTGAAAGCAACAAAGTTTATATCTCTCGTAATGTGCAATTCCATGAGTCTATATTTCCCTTTGCTAGCTCTCATCCAAGCCCTCCTCTCCACGATTTCTTTACTGATTGTGTCCTCCTTGATTGCAGAAGGGTTCCAACAATTTGTTTGTGACCATTCCTTATTTACTCAATCTCGTGGCACTTCCTTTTTGGCTCTCTTGGTGTATGTTGATGATATTATCATTGCCAGTAATAATCAGCTGCTGTAGATACTCTAAAACTTGCTTTAAGCCAACCTTTCAAAATGAAAGACTTGGGGACACTTAAGTACTTCTTGGGTTTAGAAGTAGCTCGATCTGCTGCTGGCATATCCATTTGTCAAAGGAAATATGCCTTAGAGCTTCTGTCTAATGCCGGATATTTGGGATGCAAACCAGTTTCCATTCCTATGGAACCTAATTTGAAGCTCTTTCAATCTGATGGGGAATTACTTGCCGACCCGACAAGCTACAAAAGATTGGTTGGTAAGCTCATTTACCACACTATCACCCGACCTGATCTCAGTTATTCCGTCAACCGCCTCAAACAATTCTTGGCAACCCCCCGGACTACACATCTCCAAGGAGCTATACGTATTTTACAATACATCAAAAAGACCCTAGGTCAAGGCCTTTTCTTCCCGTCCACGTCAACAATCCAACTCAAGGCGTTCTCTGATTCGGACTGGGGTACATGTCCAGATACCAGTCATTCCCTTACCAGTTTTTGCATATTCCTTGGCTCCTCTCTAGTTTCTTGGAAATCCAAGAAACAATAGGTGGTCTCCCGCTCCTCTACCGAAGCTGAATACCGGTCAATGGCTAATACAACTTGTGAAATTGTTTGGCTGCTTAGTTTACTCAAAGATCTACGTGTTTTCTATCAAGATCCCACTCTCCTTTATTGTGATAACCAAGCAGCCCTCCACATCACTGCCAACCCAGTTTATCATGAGTGTACTAAATATATTGAAATTGATTGTCACTTTGTACGAAAGAAGATTCAAGATGGCATATTGAAGACTATGCATGTCTCCACTCAAAACCAGCTTGCTGATCACTTCACCAAGGCTCTTCATCCCACCCAGTTTCATCTTTTTTTGGGCAAGATGAGAATCCACAATTTGTACTCTCCATTTTGAAGGGGAGTATTAATATATTTAGAGAATTTGTCTATTTTCTTCTCTTTATTTTTCCCACTTACTGTTATGTGAGTTGTAAATAAGATAAAACTGTAGAATATGAGAGATAGAGAGAGAGAGTTTGTTAGCTAACCAACTCTATTTGTATCCAGTTTTGTACCTCCATTCGGTAAGCAATGAGAATGTGCTTCCATTTATCAATTTCTCTCTTGTAATAATGCACTTTCTCTATCTCTTCACTGGCAACACTGGCTTCACATCGAAATCGCCTTCAATCTTCCTTCCACGACCCAATCTTCACAAAATCAAAAACCAAAAGTTGAAAATTTAGGGGAATCGAGTGACCCGCATAGAGAGAGAGAGGATTGCTTCCCGTTAGATTCTTTTGTTGGGTTAGCTAAGAGCATTATCGACAGAGCAAGAGTTGGAAATTTGGGGGAACCTATCAAATTGGGAATCTCGCAGAGCAAATCCAACGGAGGGAATGGACCGTGAAATTTAAGAATTTGGGGGAAACCTATCAAATTGGAGGGGGTGTTGGGAAAGGAGCGCGCGGGACGTGAAATTTGAAGAAAAAAATTTCCAGTACCCGCCCAACGTAATTCTAATGTATATATTTATATATATTCATATATATTCAAATATATATATATATATATAAACTCGCCGGGGTGGGGAAGGAGCGTGCGGGACGTGAAATTTGAAGGAAAAAATTTCCAATACCCAACGTAATTCTAATGTATATATTTATATATATTTAAATATGTATAAAATAAACCCACTAAAATTTTATAACATTTTAATATATATATTATAATTATTTTTAAACGCTATTATATATAGACAAAGTAACATTTTTTCAGAAAAAATGGGAGTAAAAATGGCGCAAGAGGAAAAAATAAAAGGAGAAAAGAGTAGTAAGGCAACATAGCACAAAATGACGAAAACACCCACGGCAAAGGCAAAGGAAAAAATAAAAAAGCAGGGTGAAAATGTCCGCCCACAATCGGGACATAAAAAGACCAAAATATCAAGCACCACAAAGAGAAAAATGAAATGAAAAGGGCAAACCCGTCATTCCGCTGTAAATGGAGCGGTGGGAATTTGAAAATTTGGGAAAATAATTTTTCCACTACATGCCCAATGTCATTCTAATGTGTACAGTAATATATATTTAAATATATATACAATAAATCAACTAAAATTTCATTAACTTATATATATATATATATATTATAACTATTTTAAAACGCTATTATATATAACTGAAAAAACGTTTAATAATGTTTTTTTAAAAACGCTATAATTAACAGTTATAAAAACACTGTTTTATTGTAGTGATTGTTATATATGTTAAGGGAAACGATGTCGCTTCTAGAGTTATATTGTCATTTTAAGGTTAGCTAGATTTAATTATTTTTCTATACATTGTCGTTCCTTTATCACTTTTTCTTTTTCTTTTTTTCGGTCATTTTCGAGAATGAGAAAATAGAACATAATGGTCCTGTTTGTTTCTGTTTTCATTTCTATTTTTCACATTTTTCGAGACTAAAAAATGAAAACGGAAACATAAAATGCGTTTGGCCTAAAAGTTTTTTAAAAACAAAAACAAAACCGTTTTTGTCTTTTGTGAAAAATTAAAAACGAAAAAAATGTGTTTTCATTTTCTCGTTTTCGTTTTCTGAAAACGGATTTCATTTTTTTTTTCATTTTCTTCTCTCTCTTTTCTGAAACCGTTTTTGTCTTATATAATGATGTTTATTTAATATATTATTATTTAATATTTATTTAATATATTATTTATTTAATATAATATTATTTAATATAATTTTATTTAATATATTTAATAATATTATTTATTTAATATATTATTATTTAATATATTTAATAATATTATTTATTTAATATATTATTATTTTAAATATTATTACGTGTTTTTAAAAATTAAACCACTAAACGCAGTTTCAGTTTTTTTTTAAACTGAAATCAATCTCTGAATAAAACTATCAAACGCATTTCAAAAATAATTTCAAAATGAAAATGAAAAAGTTTTCATTTCTATTTTCATACAGAAAATAAAAACATTTTGAAACTAATTCTAAATGCACCCAATAGTCTTCAATAGATTACGGTGAAAGAATGAAAAACAACCCAAACAATCCCAGGGAAAAGTTGTGGACTCAGATATATTGGATAAGCTATCTTGCAAATGATATATTGTGCACAGGGATGAGCATCAGGCAGAATGAAATTAGGTATGCTTTTTCCACCCCCGTTTTCACCTTTGCTTCTATATCTGCCTCTATACCCTCATATATCGGGTTGAGGTCGGGAAATTTCCATTTGGGAGATTTTTTCTATACCTTACACATTTATCCAATAATAAAAAAATATTGCAACAAATTAAATGTTAAATTGATCAATATAACATTAATATCTTTTAGATTTAGTGATAAAATAATAAAATAATTTTAATTTTTTTTAAAATCCACATTTTTAAGTAATATTATAATATATAATATATATATATTGGTATTAAAAATACTTTTAAATAAAAGTATATCAGGCTGGGGCAGGTTAAAGCGTGGGCGTAGTAGGGGTACTTCCCCTGTTTCCACTTTGCTTCTGATTCTGGGATAATATAAACCCCCATACCTGCCCTCATCCCCGTTTAATAACCTCCATATCTCGTTTAATTTAGGGTGGGTAGTAAATTGCTCATCTCTAATTATACAGATCTGATCAACTAGATGGTACCTTTAGGGGAAAAAAAATTATTAGATGCAAATTCGTAATTTTAATTAGTATTCTAAATCCCCATCCACTAAATTAGTTTCCCAATTGCAAATCAGGGATTAGACATTTTCTTCGAGTACAAAGGCGCAAAAAAAATAAAGAAAAAAATAGGCTCGCGGTCCCCCACAAAAATTATAATCATGCTTTTTTTCATTCTAAAAAAGGGATTTTGTAGTGTATTTTAGTCTCCTAACCCTTTCTTTCGGCTATAGCAAGCAATCTCGATGACCTATTCAACTAATTTTTACTCCCCTTTATCATATTGAGCCCACGGAGACCCACTTTATTTCCTTCAAGAGGCATGATAATAATCCGCAAATGTAAAGTATTGAACCCTAAGAGAATAATGAGGAAAGATGACCTAATAAAAACGTACTTACCACTAAATTATGACCTGGGTGGTAATCCTGCTTTGTTTAACCATAAGAAAATGAAGGGTTTTAAAGCATGCGACAAATTCCAAAATGTAAAACAACTAAACAAAGCCTTGGTAATATATTGACAACAATAACACTTAGAAAAAAAAAAAAAAAAAAAAAAAAAAAAAAAAAAAAAAAAAAACCAGAGCTAGTGACTTAAGCCACCATCAACGGCCAGGTTATGACCGGTAATAAACTCTGACTCATCGGAGGCCAAAAACGACACCGCCTCAGCCACGTGCCTCTCCTTCATCACCGTCCCTATCTTAAGCGCGGCGTTGGACTCCACAAACTTCTCCAGTTCCTCCTCTCCCACCCTCAACAAGTCACGTAGCAGCGGAGTCCCGATCGGCCCCGGCGACACCGCATTGACGCGGACGCCTCGCGGCGCCAGCTGCAGGCTGGCCGACCGCACCAGCCCCAGCACCGCGTGCTTTGACATCACGTAGTCCGTGAACTTCTCGTATCCGAGGCTCGCCGACACGCTCGCCGTGCATATCACGCTCCCTCCCTTCACCATCACCCGCGCCGCGTGCTTCACACACGCCGCCATGCCGCGCACGTTCACGGCGAAGAGCCGCTCAAGCGCCGAGAGGTCAAAGTCGAGGACTGTCTGGTCGGAGGTGCTTGGGACGCCGGCGTTGCTGAACATGACGTCGAGGCGTCTGTACTTCTCGACGGTGGATTCGACTAGGGTTTTGACTTGCTCCTCGTCGGTGACGTCGCAGTGGACGTAGCTGCAGCGCTCGGGGCCGATTGAAACGGCGACGTCTTGGCCTTTCTCGTCCTGGACATCCGCTATCACGATGGCGTGCGCGCCGTGAGCCGCGAAGCTTCGAGCTGTGGCCTCGCCTATGCCGCTGACGCCGCCGGTGACGATAGCTACTTTACCGTCAAGCTTTTTCTTGCTTGGAATAATGCATGCGTCTTCCATTTTTGCTAATTTTCTAAGAGGGATCTGATGTGATGTTGGACTGGCCTATAATAAATAAGTTATACAACCGAGTTATATGAAAGTATTTGATTGATTAAAATATTAGAGAATATAAAAATGATTGAGATTGATATCTTCAAAATTATTTTTTAAAAACATATAGACATTTTTGCTAATTTCTAAGAGGGATCTGATATGATGTTGGACTGGCCTATAATAAATAAGTTATACAACCGAGTTATATAAAAAAATTTGAGGTCGTTTGGGTCGTTGATTCGAGTTTTTAATTTCAGTTGATATGTGACTTTATGTGAAAATTTTTTACTGTAACAAAAAAATTAGATGTGATTATTTTTAAAAACTTTTTCATATAAAAAAATTAAAATTTTAAACTCGAATGCGTAAAATGAATTAATTGATTAAAATATTAGAGAATTTAAAACTGATTGAGATTGATATCTTCAAAATTATTTTTTACTATAATAAAACTTAAATTTTAAACTTAAATCGGTGAAATGAATCGAATTGATTAAAATATTAGAGAATATAAAACTGATTGCAATTGATATCTTCAAAATTATTTTTTAAAAATATATAGATGACATAAACTGCTATATAGTCTGCGGGTACTGCATCATAGATAGGCACGTTGCGAATAATAATAAGCATATACCTATAAAATGATAGTAATGGATAGAATTGTCTCTTTAGTTTTGTTTACGTATGCACCTCGAATGCAACACAACGATTATAGGGCTACTTTATTATACTTTCTTCTTGTTAAATAGTATGATAGCGTCGCTATTTTCAATTCCAATGGCAGCAACTAGTTAACACAATATCAACAAACGTTATTTATTACCACGGTTAAGTCTAACCACATAACTAGTTCAACACGAGCTGTCCTTGTATAGTACACCACAATAGTATAGTACACCACGCAATACCTCTTTTTAGAGTTTTGTTCCTTGTATTGTACATCACAATAGTATAGTACACCAAGCAATACCTCTTTTTTTGTTCCTTGTATAGTACACCACAATAGTATAGTACACAACGCAAACATTTGATTGATAAATTCAGAATTATGATTCAGAATTATTTTCGATTTACGTATATTTTTTGTGAGAAAAAATATTATAGTGATCCACAAACCATAATTCGAATCATGTCACGAATCTTTAAACCAAACGCAGAGTTTTGTTCCTTGTATAGTGCACCACAATAGTATAGTACACCACGCAATACCCCTTTTTGGAGTTTTGTGCAAGTTGGGTGTTTGCACAATCACGTGTTAATTTAAGGCGATTTAATATGTATGCCAAATGGGTAGTGCCAAAGTCCCCAACTATGAAAATCTTAGGTAAAAAAAAAAGGGAGGGGGGGGTGGGGGCATGTTCTGTATTTTTTTGGTTATCAACATTTTATATTTTGAGGAGCTTCTCTATTAGGACTAGAGAAAATGATCTACCGGCAGTTCCCTAATTTCAGTTATCAAATCTGTATTAAAAAACTTATGTTCTGAATATTTTTTCAATATAATGTAATTCTGATCATATTTAACACACTGCTAATATGATTGTCCTACTAAAAAATACTCTATTTTAAAATATGACATCAAATTTATACCAATTCATTTCAAGTTCATAATAGTCCTTATCTTTTTCCAATCAAGAGTTGATTTTGACTATATTGATCTAGTGTCCTTAACATTTTTTTAAAACATCTTTTGCTTGTAGCTGAACATCTTTTGCTCTGTACAATTCCATATATATCATAATTAACGTGTGAGGGTGTTTGGCTAAGGTAATGGCTCCAACACCAAAGAAGATGAAAATATGTCTGAAAATGGTTGATTGCATCTTCATTGGGTATGCTCATAACAGTACCGCATATCAGTTCCTTGTGCACGAATCTAAAAACCCTGACATACACAAGAACACGATAATAGAGTCTAGGAATGCATCATTCTTTGAACATGTATTTCTATGTAAGACTAAGGAAGATGAGCCAAGTTCGTCAAAACGAAGTTTTGAGACAATCATAGAAGATTGTAGTCATAATTTTGAAAACGATGGAAATGTGAAAACAGAGGAAGAGCCTAGACGAAGCAAGAGGGCAAGAATAGAAAAGTCTTTCGGACCAGATTTGCTAACCTATATGCTAGCGGCTGAACCTTAAACGTATAAAGAAGCTGTGAGCTCAACTGAGGGTCCTTTATGGAAAGAAACCATAAAGAGTAAAATAGATTCCATCTTACAAAATCATACTTGGAAACTTGTAGACCTTCCGCCAGGAAATAAACTACTAGGTTCTAAATGGATTTTTAAACGGAAAATGAAGACAGATGGAACAATTGACAAATATAAGGCCATACTAGTAATAAAAGGTTATAGAAAATGAGAAGGCCTTGATTACTTTGACACATATTCTCCTGTGACGAGAATAACATCTATAAGGATGATACTAGCGATTGCTGCATTGCGGAATCTTGAAGTCCATCAAATGGATGTGAAGACAGCCTTTCTAAATGGAGATCTGGAAGAAGAAATCTACATGGAACAACCTGAGGGTTGTGTAGCTCCAGGACAAGAGAAGAAAGTCTGCAAATTGGTGAAGTCTTTGTACAAACTGAAACAAGCACCAAAATAATGGCATAAGAAATTTAACGATGTTATGATGTCAAATGGATTCAAAATCAACGAGTGTGACAAATGTGTTTATGTCAAGAATACAGAAGACAGTTATGTCATTCTTTGTCTGTATGTAGACGACATAATAATTGTAGGTAGCAGTGATCGGATGGTCAAATCTACCAAACACATGTTGAACTCAAGGTTTGACATGAAAGATATGAGACCAGCTGATGTGATTTTGGGGATCAAAATCAAAAGGGTGTCTGAAGGTCTCATATTAACTCAGTCACATTACGTGGACAAGATACTTGACAAGTTTAATAAAGATGATTCTGGTATAGCCAGAACTCCTATTGATATAAGTTAACATCTGTCCAAAAATAGAGGGGAAAGCATATCCCAGGTGGAGTATGCTAGAGTGATTGGCAGTCTGATGTACTTAATGAGCTGTACAAGACCAGATATTGCCTTCACTGTAAGTAGATTGAGCAGATTTACGAGTAACCCAGGAGATGACCACTGGAAAGCTATTGTCGGAGTACTGAGGTACTTAAGATAAACTCGTGACTATGGACTGCATTTTACAAGAGAACCTGCTATTTTAGATACTCTGACGCAAGTTGGATATCCGATACACAGGATTCTAAGGCTACCAGTGGATATGTATTCACCTTGGGTGGTGCAGCTATTTCATGGAAATCCTTTAAGCAAACGGTAATAACCAGATCCACGATGGAGGCTAAGTTTGTTGCATTAGATAAATGTGGCGAAGAAGCTGAATGGCTTAGACATTTCTTGGAGGACATTCCGGATTGGCCGAAACCTGTACCTGCAATTTGCATACACAGTGATAGCCAATCAGCTATTGGTAGAGCACACAATACGATGTATAATGGTAAGTCTAGACATATACTTCATCGACATAATACCATTAGACAACTGATCTCAATGGGAGTCATAGTCATTGACTATATAAGGTCTAAAGACAATATTGCAGATCCGCTGACTAAAGGACTGAATATAGATCAAGTTGAAAAGACATCGAGAGGAATGAGACTAAAGCCCATGAAATAAATAGGTCGAAGCAATGGAAACACAACCTAGCTGACTGGAGATCCTAATATCTAGGTTCAATGGGACAGCTAAATTGTTTAGACCAGCTGACTGTGGGGGTAACCCCAGCCTATTCCTATGATGATAACAGTGAAACCTGTACGAGAAGAGGTTAAACATCAGTTTTTAATGATTCTTATGCGTCGAATACGTCAGGAATCCGAGCGGAGTAATACGGGTTACTCTTCATTAAGAAATCACATATGTGAGAGAGAAGTGGGGCCACTTCAAAAGAGAATTGTGAGGGCTCAATTCTTTAGAAACTCTTACAGAACCAGGTAGATGTTCATGGTCAAAATGAACATAACCATGAGAACAGAACTGTGTCAGGAAGATGTCTATGTGAGGTATATTAACGTTTACACAAAGGCAGAACAGTTCAAGTACATCGCGTCTACTGGTCAGCCAGTAAAGTTAATGTATTCTCACGAGGGAAGGTTCAAGGGTTAACGCCTACTTATCCTTTGCAGACATCGACTGTAGAACTCTATCACCGTGTCGAGTCTGTGTTTTCTGGTCGTCAGTCAATTTTTCATTCATGTGGAGGATTGTTGGAAAAATGGCTTGTTAAGCCGTTTTAAAGGCCCATATTCGAATGGGGCCCAATAGGTTTTTGGGACGGGTCTCGATAGATTTGCATTTTCCGTCGCGAGGAGATCGAATTGATTATTCATACACACAAAATGGATATTAGGTGAATGAGAAATTGATGTTCTAAGTGATTGCACTTAGTGGTTAATGTAGTTGGAAATTGTAAAAATTCCACATTGGCTAGGAATGAAACCTTGGTGGTGTTTATAAGTGATTGCACTTTGAAGCCTAGGTAAGCATGTATACTAAAGAGGCTCTCTCACCCGCAGGGGGGTGCGAATCACGGACCCGTCGGGTTGGGGCCCAATGTGTGTGCCCGCGACCTGCGGACACAAATGCCGGACCGAAAAACCCGCTCCTGCGAGCTTCCTTTTGTAATTTTTTCTTTTTATTTTTTCCAACTAAAATCCGAAACTGCTGCATTAGTGGTTGATTAAACTCTGCATTAGTGCAGGGTGCAGAAACTGCAGCAATAACCATTGATTTATGGACATTTAACCTCCGAATCTAGACATACTTAGGAGCATATGCATCTGGAATTTCAGAGGCTATAACCTCTGAATTGAATCATCATCAAGACATGAATAAATGGCCTTTATTCACCTTTATTCCAGCCTTGTAACATCCCCTGGAGCAGGCTATATAAAGGGGCCTCTCCAGCCATTTGTGTATACACAATTCTGAGTTCTCTCGTCTCCTTTCTTTCGATTCTCTCTTCTCTTGCGAGTTCTTTGTGTGTTTTCATTCGTGGTTCAGTTTTTCGTGATAGAGGGAAGGTCCAAGTTCTAGTTCACCGGACGGTTCCGATAGTGCTTCGAGTTACCGTCGTTGTCGTTGTATCCTGGGAGACGAACGTCCAACATTGCCTCAAGCACTCGCCGGAGGAGACGAATCTGTTTTAAGGAAAGCATGGTACACGTGCCTCGACATCCTTGCAATTCCAATTCCGAGTTTGATAGAAAGGTTGATTTCGTGTTTGTAACGATTTCGTTATTTTGTTTTCCATAAATTATTATTGTTCTTCTTTGTATCATCCATATTTTCCTAACACTTTTGCTTGTAGCTGGATATCTTTTGCTCTGTACAATTGCCAATAAGACAATTTGGCGGAGAGATTTCTTAGGAATCACTTATTTGTGTACTTCATTGCAATTTCAAAAATAAATTTTCCGTTAAGAAGATGAACCACATGATAATTGAAATGCGTATTGAAATATGCCATTTACCAAACTAATTCAAAAATTAGCGTTGGCCTTACTATTGTTGTTCATAAGAGCTTTGTTGTCGTTTTATATTTACATCATTGTTTTTTTAAAGTAGACACTAAGATATCAAATTTTTAAATACTTAATCAAAGAGTTGAAATGACAATTCTTATTGATAATTGATTAGTAAAAAAAAATGCACCATACAAGTTCCTTATGGTTTTATTAAATATACTAGTTTTGAGAGTGTACTCCGCACGCGTCACTGTGTGTGAGCCACTTGACCAATTTATTTGAGAAACTCATTTTAATTTTCAAACACACAGTATTATAAGAGTTTAAGAAACAATTAAATAGATGTATAATTTTCGACGCAGTGCACCATAAAAAATTAAATTTTGAAAAAAATAAATGTATCATGTGTATTTTAATTACAACATATCTTTTTGTTAAATGTTATATGTTTATAAATAAAATTGTACATGCTAAAAGAAATATTTTGAGCAGGACAAATCAAATAAAGAGCAAATTAGGGTGTACATATAGAAAAGAAAAGAAAATGATGTTTACGTAAGTGCATATTTGAGTATAATTATTTCATTCGTGGTTTTTTAATATAAAACATATTTAAAAATAAATCAAATAGCAAACTAATTTGGGCATATATTTGAGAAGGAAAAAAACGTTTGCTTAAAAGTATATTCGAGAAAAAAAAATTTAGTGGGGTAAAAAAACAAAAAAAATTAATTAAACACATGTAACTGAAAATGTATAAAAGATTATAAGAAAAGTACTTGACTAAAGACATATTTGTAAAATATATTTTAATTAGAAAATTAGAGGAAAAAAATAATTCAACAAAGTGGATTGAAAAATATATGTAAGAAAAGACAGAAAATGAGAAAAAATATTAATAGTGGACAAACATGTGAATAAAAAATAATTGAGGGCGGAAAGAACAAAAGTAAGAAAAGTTTAAAAAACGGAATGGGGATGAAACTTTAGCCACGTCACAAGACCAAGCGTTTTTATAATACATATATATATATATATAAGTGATTTCCACAGTCATAGTTTTTTGCTGGTTGATTTCCACAGTGATACTTGAAAAAATATACTATATTAGTAAGGGTTTTTTTTTTCAGGATTAATTATAAAAACTTCTTCTAAATTATAATTCTTATAACATTTTATCTTTAAATTTTAATTCATAATGCTCGTTTTTTTTTAATCTTTATTCCGTTAATAACTTTTTCCTTTCAATTTGTTTGACTAACAAAAGTTGCACATGTTATGCATTGAGGTATGGTATTTGATACATGAAGTCGTTCACTTTGCGGATTTAAATTTTTAATTCGAATTGAGATGTGATATTTTTTAAAAACTTTTCACTGTAACAGAAAAAGTTAAATGTGACATTTTCTGAGAGTTTTTTACTATAAAAACTTAAAATTAAAAACTCAAATCGGTGAAATGAACGATACTTAATTTACTCAGCAATTTTTAATTTACATTTAATATGATAAAATAAAAGGTAAAATAATATGGTCATCTTCCTCCCCAAACTCTCCACCTCCTGGCACCTCAACCTCCTCCTCCCACCACCACATGAACTCGTATCCCACAAAGCCAATTCAGAAAAATTTCAAACCAAAAAGAACAAAAAAGAATTTAAAACCACTCCATTAATTCGTATCCCACAAAGCCAATTCAGAAAATTTAAAAAAAAAAAAAAAAAAAAAAAAACCCCTTCCCAAAAAACCCACACAAAAAAATTAAAAAAAAAAAAAAAAAAAAAAAAAAACCTCCAATCCAAACAACCAAGCAAATTTAGATCAATCCCTCCAATTTCCTTACCCAGAAAACAAAACTCCCAAATGTTACTGAACACTTTTCTTTTCTTTCTACCCCTTTAAAATTTTTAACCCATCAAGAAAAAGATTCAAAAATTAAACAGAGCAGCCAAAAAAACCTCCAAATGATTCCAGCTTATTACCTAATTTTCCACATTTTCTGATGCTAACCTAAAAGAAAAGTGCATTTTACGATGATACTCTTTTTTTTGAGTCAGATGTACTCATGTGGTTATTTTTAATAGTTAAAGTAAAAGAAAAATTTTATTAACGGAATAAAATTCAAAAAATAAAGTATAACAATAGTCATAATTTATGAGAAATTTTTGTAATTAATTCTTTTTTTATGAAAATTTTAATAAGATTATGTGCAGTCAATCTGTTGTGAAAATTATTTGTCTATATATTCTTTTACTCTCATGCTATTTTGACCCGATCAACATTTAGAAACGCATACTATAACCTTTAAAGTGAGACCTCTTAAAAAATAATTCACTGATAAAATATTATATTTTAATTATTAAATTAAATTTTTAACGATTAGATATATTTAAATTTATATTAAAAATTTACAACGCATATAAAATTACTTTACTTACAAATTTAACAGTTAAAAAATAATCTTAACAGTCGGTGTTCTGCGAGTGGGTTTTTTTTTAAGGGGTATAGAGAAAGCCATTATAATATTGCCAATAGACAGCTTTCAGCAAAAACAAAACAAAAAACAAAAACAAAAAATGAAAGACAGATTACCCGATTGATTGCATTTGCACGGCATAGTCGTACAGTAAATTTACATTTTATTTTGTGTAGGATTCTAATCCCCACTGTAAAAAAGTAAAATAAAAAAGAAAGAAAAATACAAATCACAAATAACTTGATCTATACCTCCAGCTGCTGCTGAATAAAACCACCGTCCACGGCCAAGTCATGTCCAGTCACAAACTCCGACTCATCAGAACCTAAAAACACAACAGCGTCCGCCACGCTCTCCGCCGCAAGCCGCCCGCCTCCCTTGAGCGACACCATCGCGTCCACCAGCTTCTCCACCCCCGGCCCCTCACCGAAAACCTTCCGCAACATCGGCGTCATTATCGGCCCCGGCGACACAGCGTTCACCCTTATCCCGTACTTCCCGAGCTGCAAGCTCGCCGACCTCACCAGCCCCACCACCGCGTGCTTCGACATCGTGTAGTCCGTCAGCTTATCCGACCCCAACCTCCCAAACGTGCTCGCGGTGCACACCACGCTCCCCCTAATCCCGCCCTCCACCATCGCCCTCGCTGCGTGCTTCACACACGCCGCCATACCACGCGTGCTCACGGCGAAGAGCCGATCGAGAGCCGAGATGTCGAGGTCCAGAACGGTCTGCTCCGACTCGCTCGCCGTGCCGGCGTTGCTGAACATGACGTCGAGGCGTCCGTACGTGCGTACGGTGTGGTCGACCAGGGACTTGACCTGGGCCTCATCGGAGACGTCGCAGTGGACGTAGGCGCAGCGGTGGAGGCCGATCGACGCAGCGACTTCTCGGCCTTTCTCGTCCTGGACGTCGGCAATCACGACGGCGCGTGCGCCATGGTTAGCAAAGCGTCGTGCGGTGGCCTCGCCGATGCCGCTGGCACCGCCGGTGACGATTGTCACTTTGCTGTGAAGCTTGCCGGCGCTGATAGTTGGCGTAGAGTTGTCTGCCATATTTTCTCTTTGGATATTTTGACGTTATTGAGTAAAAAGACGAGAAAAAAAAAAAAGAGTGCATAATTGTGATTGGAGAAATCGTGTGTGGACATTTATATCATTACTTCTCCATTCTCGAGGAATAAAAAACTAATTGTAGTCAAAAGAAAGTACGTAGGCGTAAGGTTGACAAGATGACACGATTTAAAATTCACACAAAATTAATGAGTTTAAATTTATTATAAATAAGCATCGGTCAAAATCAGGTTGAATCAGGGATACATAATTAAATAATGTGTCATTTTTAGGATGACTCGTCAACCTGTAATTGACCCGTCATTACCCGTTTATTAAACGTGTCATATTTAGGTAACACAAATACACAATCCGTTTATTACCCATTTTATAAACAGATTCAAAAATAGGTTCAGAAATAGGTTAATACGATCCATTTATCACCTCTTTTATAAACATGTTCATAAATAGGTTAACACGACCCATTTATCACCCATTTTATAAACGGGTTGACAGGTAATTAACGGGTTGACACGACACGTTTATGACTTGTTTAATAAATAGGTTATTCGTGTCGTGTCATATCAACCCGTCAATATACAGGTCGTATTTGGATTTTGTATTTCGACACTATTAATAAACGAGTTGTGTTCGTGTCAGACCTATTCGTGTCAACTGAGGGGGTCAACACGACACGAACACAACCCGCTAACATGAATTGCCACCCCTACGTAGGCGTTTGCACGTGAAACTTCTTAAATTATCAAAGTTTTGCTGTTTTTTACACAAGACGTCGTCGTTTTGGACAATATTACAATTATTACGTCCATAAAAATGCAAATAGTCAAGAGAAAAGAAAAGGAATATCTAGTCTCTAGGCTAGTGCTGGAACTTTAGACGGGCCGCCCGCGACCGCCTGAAAAACCCGAGGATTTATCCGAGCCCGAACCCGACCCGCCTGAGATTTTTGGGCTGCCCGCCCGAGCCTGAATTTCACCTTGAACGGGCCGCGGACTTGTATTCGGCGGCACGAGCCCGCCCAAATTGCCAGAATTTTTTACATTTTTTTTTAATATTAAGTTATTTATATATATATATATTACAATTTGAAATGAACACACGAACTCGGATTTTCGAGCAGAATTCGGGTAAAAATTTAAAAAATAGCCGTTTTCAGGTTTTCGGGCAACTCAGGTTTTTGGGCAGAATTCGGGCAAAATTCAAAAAACTAGCCGTTTTCGGGTATTCGGGCACCTCGGGCGGGTCGGGCAATTCGGGCAGATGGAAAAAATTCGGGCAAAATTCAAAAAAATTCAAAAATTCAGGCTTCGGGTCGGGCAATTCGGGCACACCCAATTTTCGGGTCGGGCAGTTCGGGCTTGGTCGGAAAAATTCAAAAAAATCCCGGCAGACGGCGGTATACGGTGATTAGACGGCGGCGGGCAAGGGTGGACATGTCAAGTTCGGGCTGCCCGAGCCCGAACCCGAATTTCTTGCTTGGGCGGGCAGGAATTGGGCCGGCCCGCCCGAGCCCGAAAAAATTCAGGCTTCGGGCGGCCCGCCGACCCGAAGTTCCAGCACTACTCTAGGCGTTGGGCATGTTGGGACTTCTTAAATTTCCAAAGTTTTGTTGTTTTTACACTACGCGTCGTCCTTTTCAATAAATGTCGCTTTCAAGGCCTTTTTTTTGTCGCTCAAATAAAAGAAAAATCATTGTCATCCTTCCATTTCTTTCCTCATTTTAAAAATCCTCGTGTCCACTAATAAAACGCAAAAGACTCTGCTCTAAAGATGAATTTATTTAGAAAATAATAGAAAATAGATTAATATGAAAAGCTTAAAAAATATATAGGTCAATTTTCAGTTATAGAAATTAATAAATCATAACTTGTCAAGTTATTGTTTATAACTAGATAAGTTATGAATAAATTTTTCAAGTTATGGTTCATAACCAGATAAGTTATGGAAAAAAATTGTAATTTATGGACAATAACTTGTTAAATTATAATTCATAACCAGATAAATTATGAATAAAATAGTAATTTAACTTATTTATTAACTTATATAAATTATTGATCTATTAATTTTAATTCATATCAACTTATTTTCCTCTTTCTCCCGATTTATTTTTCACTCATACCACCGTTTATTCGACGCCCCACATCACATTAACTAGATAGAATGCCCAAACGCAGATGCTCCTTAGGACCAGTGGGGGCACAAAATGAATTATATACGCAATGCTGGTTTGATTGAGGATTATTTCTGTAAGAAGTGTCTTCTGTGCCCTTACTAGTCAACCAAGTTGTGGGCTTCTTTTGTTGGGCTTCAACTAAATTTCTCATAATAAGTTTTTGAGTAGTTATATTTGCAACAATACATTAATACTTTTACCCATTAATGATCCTCAATTTGAAAAATCTATCATTTTATAGATATAATTTCATAATACTTAATTTAACCCTCTCATATCCCTACTTAATTTTAATCTTGATTTGATTTATAAAATAATATAATATCTTTCAATTATTAATGTTATATTTCCTTTTTTTTTAAATCTTGCAATTCCATTTACCTTTCATAAAATAAAATAAAAATCCATTTACCTTTATTTATTAATTGTTTCCAAACTCCTCGTCCTCCTCCTTCAAAAACCACAATTTCCATCTGCAACGACATCTTTCACCATGTGTATGTATGACCTTAACCCAAAAATAAAAGAAATCCATCTATAATTGTGCATATTGTGAATCGATATCATTTTAGCATTTGTTGGCTCTTCAAGAGATATGTTTTTTCTTTTCTTTTCTTTTTTTCAATTGGAACCTCCGTTAAAATTGTCAAGGAATTTGATAGAGAAAGTTTTAGGGTTTATGAAGATGAAATTAGCTTTACTAGAAATGTGGCCGTGTGTTTTTTTTTTTTTTTTTTTCCCCTATTCCTTTGAAATTACGTTTTAATTATAGTTAATGTGGGTATATACTCTTTCATTTATTTAAAAAAAATACAATTTCCATTTATAGTTAATATGAGGATATATTAGTGGGTTTTAATGTAATTTTAATACAAAGTAAAATTGTAATAAACATAAATTATGAATTGGTGGGGTACTAATAAATTTTTGGGGTGTAAATATAATTACTCTAAGTTTTTATGTAATTACTTCATAAGTTGGACTACTTGTTAAAGAGAAAATTGTGAAAACTGACTCTTAAATACATTCTTCTAGAGTTCTACCTTTTTATTGTGATAGGTTACCTCTTTGATAATAATCTTTCAAATTATATATAGTGATCTCTCAAATTACGCCACTATCAATGATTGGAGACCCACCGCCAGTGACCGAAGACCCGTCGCCAGCCTAATTTGTCAAATTATAGATAATGATCTTTCAAATTACTTACTCTAAAGGGGTAAAATTCAATAAGTCAATGTTGAGACCTAAAAATCCTTAATGGTACCATTTTAAGGGATATTTGTTAAAATTACCTTTGTTTAAATTGAGAGAGAAACGTGTGTGTAACTATAAACTTTATTTTGTTTCACCTTTTATAATTTTTTTTAATGGGATAGTTTTCCAGCCTTAGTTCTCTCTCCATTATATTTAATTTTGTGTTGATTTTATTTTCATTATTTTCTCACCCAAATCTTTATTTATTTTCTTTTGTTTTCTACGATTTTTGTTCAATTTTCAGTTTTCATTCATTTTTTCCCTTCTATCTCCTTTTTTTTTTCTCTGTCACTTTCTTGTCTTAAAATTTTTCTTCAATACGTATATGTCAAAAGTTTGATTACTACCCAAAATTCATCAGCTTCAATACCCGGCAATTGAGTCATTATTAACGTATGATTAACATAAAAAACTTATGTAAGTGATTATAGAAATTATGAACCTTTTTAATTTTACAAGATTTGTTTGATGTTCATATTTCTATTTATAAACATTATAAATATATTAAAGGAGAGGGTGTTTTTACTCTTTCCGGTGTTTTTTCTCTTTCCCTTTTTTATCCCCCTCTCATTCATCTCATGTCGAGGGCATTTTGGTCTTTTGCTAAAACTTTTTTTTTTCTCCCATAAACTTTATTTCTTTTTTGCTTTGGTCCATTTTTGAGCCCTTTTTTTAAAAATTTTTAAGCTGATTATTTATTTTTTTCATTTTGGTCATTTTTGCTCTAAAACTTATTTATTTCTTCATTTTAATTCTTTTTTTACCCATTTTTTTTCCTTCTGAAACCCTTTTTTTTCCTTTCATTTTTTCCCTTTTTGAGAGAAGGAGAGGGGTGGATTCACTGTGCATTAAACAGTGAAACACCCTCTTTGCCCTTTTTTACCCCCTCTCATTCATCTCCTATTGGGGGTTTGTTGGTCTTTTGCTACGTTCTAAACGGAGTTAACATCCGTTTGTCTTTTACGCCATTTTTTATGTTTTTAATTGAAGAGACCCCTTTTCACAAAAAAAAAAAAAAAAAAAAAAGAAAAAGAAATCAAAGAGACCCATGTCCATGGCAAAAGAAAAAACGAAAAAACAAATCAACCCATATGCACTATAGAGAGATCTAAAGAAAGCGGAATCCGCTTTTCTGTTCACGCCACTTTCGACAATAAGGTCACTGTTTGGTCGAAAGGTGAACAATAATGAAGTGCAATTTTTTCCCTCCATGGCCTTTTTACCCTTTTTCTCTCATCTTTCTAACAGTACTCTGAAACTTATTTATTTCGATGGTCTTTTTTTACCTTTTTTTATTTTCCCTTAAAACTTTTTTTTTTTGTTTTTCTCCTATAAACTTTATTTATTTTTAGCTTTGGTCCATTTTTGACCCATTTTTTAAAAAACATTTATACCTTGAAGCTTTATTTTTTCATTTTGGTCACTTTTACCCTAAAAATCATTTATTTCTTCATTTTAGTTCTTTTTTTACCCTTTTTTTTCTTCTAAAACTTTTTTTTTCATTTTTTCTGTTTGAGATTTAATATTCAAATTTTATATGCTTAATAACACGGTAATTAAAACTTATAGCACGCGCTTTTCGACCAAAACGCAATCATTTAAATTGAAAACGTGAACAATAATGAACATTTTTTTTTTACTCCCCATGGTTTTTTTTCCCTCTTTTAGCTCATCTTTCTCTTTTTTCTTTTTTCTTCAAAAAAATTATATTTTTCTACGCACATATTCATTTATGATAGTACCCTAAAACTTATTTATTTCGATAGTCTTTTTTTACATTTTTTTAATTTTCCCCTAAAACTTTATTTTTTCATTTTTTCTCTAGAAACTTTATTTCTTCTCCATTTTTGTCCAATATTTCTTTATTTTAGTTATTTTTTGGCCCCTTTTTAAAATTTGCCCTAAACTAATTTATTTTTTCAATTTAGTTATTTTTTACCCCTTTTATTCTTCTGAAACTTTAATTTTTCTTTTCATTTTTTTCTTTTTGAGAATTTATATCTAAATTCTATATATTTAATAACATGGTAATTAAAACTTAATATCCGGATTATTCTCTATGTACATCGCACATGGAATTATACTAGTTAAAACTAGGGACGTTTACCATAAGGTGAGCTAATTGACTCTACAGATAGGGTTAAATCTAAGTGAACATTTAATTTATGAATTCAGAATCATGATTTAAAATTATTCTCAATTTATGATATTTTTTGTGAGAGAAAATACTGTAACAAACCACAAATTATAATTCAAATTACGATATGAATACACCAACTAAACGCACATATTTAATCCTAGTGAGAGTACACATACACCCTCCCACGTCAAATTACAACTTAAAACGATTAACTTTTGTTTTAAAAAAAAAAACACATTATATTCCCAAAAAAAAAAAAAAAAAAAAAACTATTGAACCCAACGGCAATGGATCTAATTTTTAAAATTATTTGTTACACAATTTTTGTTCTTATTCTATCTCAAACTCATAAATTTCACAAACTGATTTTACTAAAGTATTTCGTAATCAAACTCAGCAGCGGAAAAAAAATGATAATCAAACTGATTTTACAGAAACTGATTTACAAATCTAAAATCAAGCCCATCACACAAATTTCACTAAAATTTTCCCACAAAATACACTTTCAATATTACAAAAATTAATTTCCAAAACACAAACAAGTTCACAAATTCTAAAATCCCAAATTCTGGTCGTTCAGTCTAAAATCCCAAATTCCTGCGGATCTGATCCACCGTTTCCGATTCCGTATCAACACCGCCCCACCCCAACCCACTTTTGCCCCTTCCACATCCTCTCTCAATATAACTCCCTCAGCATCTTCGCCGCCAGAATGCCCGAAGGCTACATCTCCGCACACGACAAGGCAATCGAAACCCACATGAGGAGATCGACGGCTTCGACGGCACCGCCAAGTTCACGGCCTCCGGATGAGGAGATCTCCCTTCTCTCTCTCCCCTCCCTCTTTCTCTCTCCGTTGATACGCTTCCTCTCTCTCTCGTCGGACGAACGCCAGTCATGCTCCCTCGCGAACGCCGTGGATATGGCGAACTCCTTCGATGAAGCTCTCATCTCGCGCCTCCGATGGTAAGCTTTGGACTCACGCGATCTACTCCGGCCTTCCTCGACCCCAAGCTCCCCTCTCCAAGGCGGTGCATATCCGCACCTCCTCCGCCGGCACGAGCTCCGATCAAGCTCTCGTATTCATAATTCGTTTTAATATTTTCTCTCATAAAGATACATATAAATTAAAAATAATTTTAATTTATGAACTAAATATGACGTGCGTGTGTGCGAATAAAAGTTTTTTTTTTATTATTTTTTCTTTTAAAAATAATACGAAGGACAGATTTTGATTAGATAAGTCATGTTCATTTTTATTTTTATGGGACTGATCAATTTGGACCACACATTTTTAATCCAAAGATCTTTATAATTTCAACCTACCGATATGGCGAATTAGCTCACCCTATCGCGGAACATGCCGGTTACTAATGATATTTATTACTAATAAAATATAAAAAAAGTTGTACTTTTTAAATTAGTTCAATTTATACCCACTGAATTTAAATTCTAAATCCGTGACTGAGGGCCTAAAATGAGCTGTTTAACTAACTCAAGATGTTGTTCCTTATGTTGTCGTTTTAATTATTATAGTTGAGTTAATAAGCAGTCATTGAAAGTTTTTAATTACCTCACAAAATCTTTCTCATATTTTTCCAGCAATATTATGAATATAAGCATCATTCATTTCACCAATTTGAGTTTTCAATTTTAAATTTTTATAATAAAAAATTCTCAAAAAATATCACATCTAACCTTTTCTGCTACAGTAAAAAACTCTTAAAAATATCATATCTCAACTCGAATTGAAAATTCAAATCCGCAAAGTGAACAATACTGTCATTTAATTATTTAATGGAAATAATCAGAGCAGTATGATAATTTAATAGGGGGAAGAGAAAGATTTGAGTTTTTTAAGCAGGCACAGGAATAATATGATAATTTAATAGTCCGTTTGTCGAAAAATAACTGTTTCTATGTGTTCTTTTCCTTCTTAATTTAACAAGTCATTTATTGGAAGAATTAGAATTTATGCTAGTTCTCACAGTGGAATATGGGGACAAATTTAAGCTTCTAATCTTTTCTCCATAATAAAATAAGTTTAGGCTCCTCATCTTTTGGAGGAAAAATGTGAGAAACCATTTCAAAGCAAACATTTCACTTTTTACAAGCCCCCAAGAAAGGGGCCAAAAAACACTCACAAAGATGGGGGAGAAAATAAGCAGCACATTCTCGTCAAGAATAATCTGAATGGGACTCGTAAAATTCACTTGGGTAAGGTGACATGACCTCTTGTTCTAGCAACTGCAACACCTCGTTCATCGACGGCCGATCATCTGGATTTGCATCGGTACACCTCGCAGCTATTTCGAGGATTGCTTCGATAGTCTCCGCATCCACGTCTTTGCACCTTTTGTCCACTATGTCCTCCAATCGGTTTTCTTTCAATAGTGTGTTCAACTGTAAACAATCAAAGTTCAATTTCTAGCTTTCATATTTATTATTAGTTGCAGCCTTATTGAAAGGAATCAAAATGGGTAGGGAAGCTTTACCCAACCAACAACATTTAAGCCCCTCTTTACAAAAGATGGATCAGTTGGTCTCTTTCCAGTGACAAGCTCAAGCAAAAGCACTCCAAAGCTGTACACATCCGACTTCTCGGTGGCTCTCCCGCTTTGAAGATACTCTGCAATAAAAATCCGTCAGTAACAACAATATGAGCACATGAAATTATATGAGAAAACAAGATGCATTAAAGAAAGAAAAGTGGACAGACCTGGTGCCAAGTAACCGAAAGTGCCAGCGACAACGGTTGTGACATGGGCATCCTCATCAACCAACAGCTTCGCGAGACCAAAGTCAGACACATGGGGCTCCAAGTTTTCATCAAGGAGAATGTTGCTCGATTTTATATCGCGGTGGACAATCCTTGGAGAGCAGTCATGATGTAGGTAAGCTAGCCCTCGAGCAGAACCGAGGGCTATTTTTAATCGATCACTCCAGTTTAAAGATTGACCTTCTGACCCATGTTCTAGCAAAAATGAAGAGAAACAACACTAGTTAGCATTTCATTCCAAAGTTTTTACTATTGCTGTTAGTTTACAATTGTACTAAAATCTTAAGCAGTTTAGTTCGGAGGTTGGCTAACAATAGTTTTATATTCTAACAATTGCTAAACCGTTAAAATAAATGAAACTCAGGGTTAAATAGAAGCTCGTATGATCACAAGTGCTTAATTATTTACCATGCAAGAAATCATCTAAACTGCCCATAGCAAGATAATCATAGATAAGAAGTCTTGAAGCCGGAAGCCTGCAGTAACCACGAAGGTTCACCAAGTTTATGTGCTTTATGCTGCCCAATATTTCCAACTCCCTCTCAAACACTTGATCTGATCCCTCTCGGCTTCTATCGATCCTTTTAACAGCAAATGTTCCACAATCATTCATGACCATCCGGTACACGGTACCAAACCCACCAGAGCCAACTACATCTTCTTCATCAAGTGCCTCTAGCTTTTCTATGATCTCACACGAGGGGTACGGAAGGTCACCGTGGAACGTAATAAGTTTTGTGCCTGTTTGAAGGTTAAAACATTTTAGGAGTATATTGATAGTGAGAAACATGAAGTCTGAATGCAAGAAAGTGCACGAATCTTACTTGCTTCATGAACTTTTTGCTTTCTAACTTCGGAGTATCGTTTAGCTGCTCTTTCTTTCTTTGATAACAAACGAACCCAAAGGAACAAAAGGAGAACCACAAGAGCAAGGCCCAGTATGCACATTGCACCAATGATCAACCCTCTTATATAGTGAGATGATCGTCTTTTGGCAGGGACTGCAGATATCCAATTAATAGTGAAGACGCCACAATTAGCATACTAAATTTATACAAGTGAATGTGGTAAACGAAGCTGAAGTTCAAATTTCCCATCAAATTGCCATAGGCAACAAATGGACCACAACTTGCCTACTGCTTCATCGCTCTCGGTATGAGGTAGCACTGCCGGGAACCCGAATGAGGTATGACAAGGTTTGTGCACTTGCTGTCCACAAAGATCTAGATTACCAGTAAACCTGAAGAACCAAAGGACTTTCAGAAGCTAACACTCATAAAAGTAAAACTAAAAAGTGCAGGATATTTAGTCCTTTTAAAGCATACTACAATTAGCTTTGTAAGTCTTTTCTATCTTCTCATATCCTTTGCATGCTTGTTTTGGTTGTTTAACAACTAAGTGCTTTCTTTTATGTAAGTAAACACAAAAATTTTCTATAAATAACACACAAACAATAAAAGGTTTTATACTAACCAAAACAGCATGTTACGGAGTATTACTATTTTAGACTGGTAAGAAAAAGCACACAAAATGTTATGGGAACATAATTGACAGAGTAACTCACGCATTGCTCCCAAAAGTGCTTAAAACTCCAATATCTGGGATTTCTCCAGAAAAAAAGTTGGTGGACAAGTTCCTGAGGAGGAATAGAATTAGTATTATACTAATTAATACAGGGCGTGCATTTTCTTAAACAAGAGCATATATAAAGATAGTAATATAATTCAAGAACTTACAAAGAACGTAGTCTAGTAAGGCGACCAATTGATGAAGGTATAGCCCCTTTCAGCAAATTGCTTGATAAATCCCTACATGTTAATTTTGAATGCCATCAATACCAAAAGGGCAAAAAAAAAAAATGCATACATAATAAATATATATATATATATATTTGATAATTAAAATTGCCATTACAGTTAACTTACAGGATGGTAAGATAAGAAAGGTTTCCAATATTTGATGGGATGCCTCCTTGGAGATAATTGGCTCTCAAATATCTACACGGGTCGTCCAAAAAAAAAAAAAAAAAAAAAAAAAACCAAAAAA